TTAAATTATAATATCATAAACATATTATTTATAATGAACTCATGTTCATCACATCTATATGATATCTATAAATATAAATATAATAACAGATCAAAGTTAGTCCTTAAAAGATTATTTAAATACTAAAAAATTAAGTAATAAAATGTATTTCAAATTATTAATTTCACCGTTATTTTCAGTTCTTTTAAAACCTTCATGAGCATTCTATAAATTACTTTTTAAAGTTCTACTGAGTACATTTTTTTTATCTATAGTGATTAAAAATAAAATACCTAACAAGAGATCTTTTGAAAAAATTCCTAGAACTTTTTAATTCATTCAAAAATACTGCAATAATTAAGGAAATTGTTAGTATTCTATTCTATATAATATATAACAATATATTAATATAGGTAGGTACTATTATTTGGTAAACATCAGCAACCAACATAAAATTGATTTCAACAACAAATTTTAACATTTTAATACTGTAGAAATTAAACCATTAAAAAAATTATTCCAAATGTGTAATGGCATAATAATTTTCACTTTAATAAAGAGTAAATACAATAAAAATATATGCAGTTTACAGTTATAAACAATAATTTATGTAAATAATAATATATTTCACTAATTAACAAACAAAAAATATAATTTTATCGTTATGTGAGATACATAAAAACCTAAAGCATAAATAATTAAAAACAATAATAACAATTTATAATACTTTCTTAAAAGTTATATTATATTATAAAAGAATAAAAGCTAATAATTAGTTTTATATTTCTTAATCTCTATCATTATCACGTGTATATTAGGTAACTGTGCTTTGTTTGGAGCTAATAAAGCTTTTTGAAATCTATGATAATAATCAATTAACTGTGAAAATGCTAATTGTAACAGAGAAGCACCCGTTGTTAGATTAGGAAATGAAGGCAATATCTCTTTATTGATCTCTTCTAAAGACATCTTCCAGGTAGAAGTGAATGTTTTAGTCAATCCTAATTGCCTTGACTCTGAATCAATATCTCGACCATTCTCTGCATCTATAACAAAGTTCATCATTCCACCAAAATAAACATGAAGTACTTCATCAACATAATCTTTACTTCTTGCTGAAAGCTCTTCTTTAAATCTATCTACTTCAAACGTACTATCTCTAACACGTTCCATTAGAATTCTCAATACCAAATCATAATTATTAATTAAAAATATTAAACGATCTTTACGAGTCTTAAACATAGTGGCAAGGCGTAATACAAACCCTAAGACTTCTTCAGTTAGGCTACAAATTAATTCAGGTTCACATTTATTGTTTTCACTGAATGAAACTATAGCTGATACAAGTTCGGCATATCTTCTCATAATGAAGTGAGGCTTCTTTTCTTTATTAAATTTAGAAATATCATAATCTTTAACACTTTGAATATGTCGTTTAAGTATAAATCGAAATCTGGTCCCAATCATTGCAAGAATTGTATCCCAATACTGTGCAAGCCCAGGAACTAAACGATTTTGACAAAGTGTTTGATAACGCATACTTAACTGGCCACATAAAAAAAGCGCTAATGCATCATAGCAGTTTTCAACAAAATGTTCTAAATGTTTAATCAAAAGTCCTAGAGTTTTACCCATGATTTGAGAGAATAATCCCTGGGCAGTAGGTTGATCTACTTTGAAAAACTCGCAATCAAATTTATATTCTCGACAAGCATTATCTACAAGAGCATACTGGACCGATCTAAATATTGCCTCAAATGATAAATTGGTCAAATTATTTTGATGTGGTATGATAATTGAATTGTCAATTTCATTGAGAACAGATGCTCTGTTTCCGATTGTAAAAACAGTATTTTTTTTTATTGATTTTTGAAAAAGAGTACGTGATGTTGTATCCTCCACTGCTAATAGATCATCCTTCGTAGCTGCTTCTTCAAATTGTAGCTTCTGTAAGTAACTCAAGTATGATTTAAAATAAGTAAAATAAACTTTACTTAAGGCGTCGACATATTCATTATAAATTTCTTGAGCAGATATTGAATCATGATTGAGCAGGAACTCAAACAGGAATTTATACTCAAATAAAGTGTTTTGTGGTATATGGTAATTTGTAGTAGGTTTTTTAAATTTATTTATTTGTTCCAAAATAAAATGTCTAATTTTTGATGTAGCAGTAATTTTTAGTTTTTCATACACATCCTTCACATCGTTTTGGGATTTTACATCTTTGAAATTTTGTTCATCAACAAACAATATTTTGTAGTTCAGTACAGACAAATGTGTTGAAAACTTTTCATCTGTCACTGAACATGTGGTTATGACTGAAATAAGTGTTTCAGACACAATTACATCTTCGATAAATTGATGCATGAGCCCTTTGAAGGACTGTCTATTACAGAGTTGTTGAGCCATAAATATTGATCTCTGCTGTAACCTAGTAATTTCATTTGTTATATTTTGTAATTCCTCTTGAAAAGTATACAATACTGATTCTGTGTGTTCCAATACGTTTTCACAATGATTCAAATGTTTATGTAATGTCACTATTTGATCTCCAGACTTAATATATTTTTCCACATCAAGGTTCTCATGATTTTTCAAATCAGATTCTACCTGCTGAGAATAATTATGTAAGTCGGTTTCCGATTTAAGAATTTGATCCAGTACATTGTCATCTAACTCAATATATTTCTTGTCCATATCAATGAAATAACGAAATTCAAAAAATTATGAAAAATTAACAACTAGGTATGTAAATTATTCAAGCGTAAACACACATTATATAGAAAAAAAAGTTAAACATTTATCAAACAATTTTAGTTACGATATGGATAGTTTAGTTTTCGATGACAAATATAATATATTAAACAGTAAACACTTGACACCGTCTTAAAAGTATAGAACAATATAATATATACGAGATACGTGGAGATCAGTGAACAATCGTATAGAACCAACCACAGTACCACACTGCTGGCACTGTCAGCTTGTCACTGAATAGTAAATAGTACTGTACTATTGTCTAATGAGTATTAAGTGTCAAGTATACATAGACACATAGACTGACCACTAATGACTAATTATTAATGAGTATCGAGTATTAAACTATTGTAGTATTGTACACTGTCTTTACACTTTTTTTTATCTTTCAAGTTGTTATCACGGGCTAAGATATCTTTGATAATGTATGAGGTATGACACATATTTGGTACTCTATGATTGGTATACGGAATATAAGTGGTACACTGTTATTAAATGATGATGAATATAGGAAGCGCTAGATGCGCACATGCTACATAGTACATTTGCCGAATACCGACGCTTAAGTCGATTGATATTTGATGTTGAATGGTGAGTAGTGACTAGTGAGTGCTCATGACTCAACTACTCAAGCTTCAATCCCTCACAGTGGCTAAAGTCTTTTTTACATTCCGTCCTGACTCTCTAAAGGCAAAACATTATATTAGCTTTAAATACATTGTATTAGCAATTTGCTTATTTTGATTTATTATATTAAATTATTTAATTATTGACCTATTAACAAATTTTTTGGCAATAGATCTTCTATGTACCCACTAACCTACTAAATAAACAGGAAAAGTGGCAAAATCTTCCAATTCTCAATTCATACACACTCAACATAAATACACGCTAAAAGTACATTCTCGTACTCGAAAATATTTTATGGCGAAACATTTAGTCTAGTATTTTAATCTTATCTTTAAATGGGCATTTGAAAATGCTAAATCAAATTTGTATAGAAATTCGAACATAGTATAATATATTATCCATAAGCTATTAATAATTGGTAAATTAGTTGTATGCAGGATAACATCATATTATAAAGTAGGCGATTTGATTATCATGGACCAATCGTTATTTAAAAAACATTTTTGGGAATATTTTTATACCTAATTTTAATTCATCAAAAAATATAAATAATATAATGTTATTATTAAATAAATAATATTTTTATGATTGAATGTGTATACTAAATCTAATTTTTAGTAAAGCTGTAGAAATTACAACAATAAAATAAACAAAAGAACAAAATTGTCCGCCTTTACAGAAAAAAAATGAGTTTTTATCTGGGGAAATTTTATCTGTGTCGATTATATAATAAACTTCTACAGACCGTTGTAGAATTTATTGACAATAGACATATTATAGGGACATACTTGTAGTCTTGAACTAGTTTACCTCGGGTAGATAACTAGATTACTCATTCTACATAATTCATACAATTTAGTATTTTAATATTTTTATGCAAGTTAAATTTTTGTCTGCCCAAGTTATGCATAGACTACAGACACACAGTTGTATTCTTGTCTATTTTTGTGCAGTGTTTAAAAAAACTTTTCATAATACTATGTCCCTAGATATGGGGAAACGGATGACGGTCTTCGAATAAATCGTGTTGGAAATCTGATACTTATTGGCTATTTTAGTATTTTACATAAAATCTTCTGTTACCTAATAGTAATGCCATTTAATTTGATATGGACATTTTTGTAATGTTTCTCTAAGAACGATATAGTAATATAAGTCCGAGATTCAGATACTAGTATTGAGTATTCACATGTTAATGTGTTATAATGGACTTATTTATTAGATATACAATATTGACATAAATAAAGGATCTTTTAAGTTTACGTTTATTCTAAAAAAATGTTACCTATAATTTGAACATGAGTTTGTGATAGATATATATTAAAACCAAATTTATATTTTGTAAGAACTATCTAAAACAGGCAAGAAACATTAAACAATGAATTATTTAAATAATATTGCAAGTTACAACTGTTTCATAATATTATAAAGAACTAAATACAATTGAAGAAATTAAATTGCATTTTATTAAACTTAAATTAAAAAGTACAAGACCCTTAATTTATACTATTATAAAATAAATATAATATAAATAAATATTATATACCATTGTGATATCTTAATTTAGTTTTAATTATAAAAATTGTATTGGATCATTTAATAATTATGACTATTATTTGTGGCACATCCATACTAAAATAAATTGTTATGATTAATGCAATAAATTAAACAAAAAGTTTTTGGAATATAATATTTTATAATCAGTCAAATTTTTTTAATATCTAAATACAACATCAACAACTTTTTACCTACATAGACTTTGAAATAATATAATATAAAAAACATTTATAAATAATTCAAAATTGGTACTTTGAATATTTTGTTATTTCTAGATAAATACAATGTACCTCTATAAATTATTTAATCAAATAACAACGTTTTTTCTTGATAGAATTTAACATATCATTGTGCACTTTTCCAGTAGATGAAAAATAAAATATTGTCTGATTTTCTTTTAATAATTTGTTTTGTACCAATGAATCATCATTTATTTTTTTGCATTTTAAATCATTTATTACATTTTGAACCTTTGGAAGTTTATTTTCAATTAACATACAATCAACCTCTTTATCTTCAAATTTTAAATTAGATAATTTTATTTTCTTTACATTCTTTGGTTGAATTACAATTGTATTTGAATAACACTTAGAATCAATTTTTGATATTTTGCTTTTGGAATTAAATTGCTTTAAAGATAGTCCGCTTGAATATTCAGGTGAACTATCATCAGATGAATCAAGCCTTAAATCATTGATTTGATGTCTTTTGCGAGCTACACGTTTTGAATTATCTCTAGCACCTTTATAAGAATTTAATTTAGATGTACTTGGTTCATATTTTGTGCTGTTTGAGCAATTTATTACATTATGGCTCACTTGTTTAAAAACATGTTTGTTTAATTGATTATTTTCCTTCATTGTTATATTGTTATCAACTGCTCCAATTTTTAACAATTTCTCACACATAGCTCCAAATGCAATTATTTCTGCATCTTGGTCTTCACCCAGACGTTCAACATAATGATCTTGAGTAGACAACTTAAGATCAATTTTAGGAGATGTAGAATTTAACTGTTCCAATTTGTTTGGATCATCAACTACAATTGAATCATTGTTTTTGATTTCTGGATTTCTTAATTCATTAATCAAAGGCAGTGGTGAAATTACAGTTGAATTGTCTGAATCTATTTGTTTAATAGTATGTGTCTTAGAACTATCTAAATCTATATTTTGTGAAAATGCATTTAGTAGTTGGTAAGCTTTTTTTAAATGTAATTCCATAAACTGTTGGGTATTTATATCTGACAATTCTGTATTTGTACTAGAAATATTACCATTCATTTTTGCTATTAATTCAAATAATAAGTTTTCATCTTGACTATTCAAAATAGTTAGACCTGTATTTGACACTATTTTCTCAATTATAAATTTACACTCTGCTTCGTTTAACTGACTTGAGCCATGGACAATATTGGTTTCAATTATTTTTTCGTCAGAAATATCATCTGAATTGGTCAACATAGTAGATGTTGTAAAATTATTTTTTTCATGAGCATTAGACAAATTCAATTTATCAATACTGTTAAAATTTTCAGAGGAATGTGAAATATCCAATAGTTCATCTTCATTATTAAAATTATTTAGTTTCTTGCACTGGTGACCTACCACATTCTGAAACATAATTTGACCAATTATTACATCAACATCATGTTTAATATTATATATTTATATTCATACTATAACATTTACGATTTACAATAGCATTTTCAAGAAATTACAGAGTAAAGATTGTGAACAAACCAACTAATAACTTCAGCACCTTGAAAATGTAACCTATTAATACTTAGAATTTATAGCTAAATACATAACAATAACACATAATTAAAATAATAATTGATTTTAAGAGAAGTCACTTATAATTTTATATAGGCACTACAGAAGAACTTAATTGATCCATTTATAGACTGTAATATTTTATATGTGCTGTGTAAGAATTTAGTTTTATTACTTCAGAAACCACAAATTCTAAACAATTATTACAATATTAAAAATCTAATAATAATACGTAGTTATTAAACAAATATTTATACATTTTTTAATAAGAAATAATGGGTACTCATTAATTATTTACTATATTATCGTGTTATTTTATACAACACTTGCTACCTAAAGAAATTGGAAGTTTTTATTGATATTATTATTTGTAAGTTATGACCATTTTTAAACTGTACAATTTAAAATGATCATAACTTACTTATAGCAAATTAATATTAGTAAAATCCTCCAAGATGTCCTAGATAATATTTTTACCTTTAAATTTTATACGAGGTAATTTACTCTAATTTTAGAAATTACAAAGTAAAATGTATTAATGTCATACTAAAATTTGCCATGTTGCACATTTTTGTAAGACAGAAACAACAAATGCCCGTGTAGCGTCCTCTTAAGAGGATGTCAGAGCAATGTTTATTTCTCTCTCAGACTCAACACACAACATATATAAATAAAATTATTTCACCTAAAATAATTTTTTATGATTTTTGAGTAACCTTGAATTAAATTCACCTACTTTAAAAATTATAGAGGATAATATTGTCGAGGGTATGACATAATATAGGTTTTATACTTAATTATTATTTGACTTTCAAAATAAAATAAAAATGGTGTTTAAATTATTTTGAGACAATATTTAGGCAAATCATTTGTCATACCTTCAAAAATATTATTCCCTATCATTTTTTTAATGGGTAATTTTACTTTCAGCTTACTAAAAACATGAAAAAAATGATTCTGCCTAAATGCAATTTTCCAATGGGCCAGAGAGAGAAAACAAACAGTGCACTGACATCCTCATAAACTATAACCTTTCAATTTTTTTAATATACTTACAAATTTTGACTGTCTTGGATTTTAATCAAATATGGTAATTGAATGAAAAAATCTTAATTTCGAAAACTTCAAGAGTTTGTAATAAATAGGAAAACATCAAAATGTAACAACTAATTCTAAACATTTTTTATGGACAATAATTTAAAAAATATTAAACAAAACCAAAATAACTTGTATAGATTGTTTAATTTAAATAAAGTACAAAAAAAAGATTCATCAAAATTCTTAAAAACAATTTTTAATTTTAATTTTAAAGTTTCCAGTTAAAAAAAAATTAAATATACTAATATAAATTTGTTTAGTCAAATAATTTGTCCAATAGATACCTCACTTATAGTAACTAATATATTATATACTATTGTATTAATTAATTAATTTCATTTTAAGCCCAATGGCTTATGCTGCCGAGGATATATATAAAAAAAAAATATATATTATATACTACTGACTATTACTTACTTCGTTTGACATAATAAAATCAGTTCAAATCTGTTCAAATCGTGTAATAATAATTGTAAGTTGTTAATTTTAAATTAGTAAACTGTCAGGAACTCAATAACTTATAATATACTATTTAATAATATCTTATTATTTTACAATCAGCTATCTGTCTCCAACAAGGACAACGGACTACTTAACTGTCGGCAATATAGTCTATTGAGTAAAACTACTAACTTGAAACTTCTCTACGGTCTACAACTACAACTGTCAACTACTATAAGTAATATGGAAATCAGAAGATGAAATAGCCTATGATAGCAACCATTGATTATAGAATATTCTATAATCAATGATAGTGTGGTGTCTACCGGTGCTGCCAAAAGCGACGGTGGTCGTAACGTGACACGGGCGCCGGCAGAACACTACGTTTACTCCTGGATCAGAAGGTTTTTTTATATGAGGAAAATGCGCAAAACGTTCGGTGGTCGATTAAATATTTTATTGAAAAACTAAGACAGGTTAAACTAAAAATGGTCGTTTCGCTCGGGTCGTCGGTCGTAAGAGCCGAGACGTTGGGCTGCTCGAGTCGATTCGAGAGCGTAAAAGTGAGTGAGGTCGTACGGCAAAACGTGAGCGGCTTCGAGCCCGTAACGGCGAAAAATTCGGTTCTCGAGGCGGGAGACAAAATTGTAGCGAGACGACCAAAGATAATACAAATAAAAGTTTAACAATAATTCACACAGTGAATAATACAAGGAACATAAAAATAATACAAGTATAAATCGTTTACACAAAACAACAACAATACAAAGGTAGGAACGAATGACAAAATGGTAACGACAAAATAATTACG